TGTGTGTGTGTGTGTGTGTGTGTGTGTGTGTGTGTGTGTGTGTGTGTATAAACACTGGGTAGAGGGAGGAGAGAGAGAAACAAAGAAGGAACATCAGACAAAGCTTCCAACCTCTAGGAGAGTAGTCAGGGTCAATCATTTATTCAGCCTCCACTGTTTTATATTTGTATTCAGGGAGGCAAGGCCAAAATGAGAGACCAAAAGATAAACCCAGTACTACAGACCAGATAGAATCTAATGAAATAAAAGTGTGTTCTCTTCAGGAAGACTAGATTCTATATAGAAAGTATGATTCCTGGAACACATTCGGTTCCAAACATTCATGGACTAATTTTATAGTAAATACTGGCTTTTATACTTATCCATGATGGCGCAGTGGTTAGATTGCATATCCCAGGCAGACTCTGCTCGCTGTCAGGAGTTCGATCCTGACAGGTTGACTCAGCCTTCCATCCTTCCAAGGTTGATAAAAAATATATATCAAATTGGATAAATTACAGTGAGGGTCATCCCACGGTTGCCACCAGTGAGACATACCACAGGGAGCTGCAGCAGCTAATACATACTGCTCCTGTAAAATGCACAGATTTGCAAGCGATTGAATGCACGATTACACAACTTTACAATTTAAAGCTCAACTAGGTAATCTGAAGTTTTAATGTGGCCAACATCCTTTTTTTGCAGTTCCCAGACCCTTCTGTGCTCCTGCCCTTTAACTGCAAATTGTTAACTACAGTTATCAAGATGACAATGTCCAAAAGACAAGTGAAAAGTAACACATAAGATGAGCCAAATCTTTGAATAGACTCTTGCACTCTCCGTTGCAAATCTCATGATTTTTGCCCGTTGTGGAAACTCTTCCTTCTGGATACTGATTTTTAAGTATACTCAGATAAAAAGATGGCTGCTCTTTTTATTAAAGAATTTTTTTAAAAAAATCAAAAAGTACATTAAGAGGTGTCCCAATAAAGCAAAAGAACCTGAATATTTATGGAAGTAAATATAACACTTTAGTGGGTATAACATACCATCCCCTCCATTGCCTTTCTTGGCTACTGCAGAAGCTATTAGCCATAGAAACGTGCTAAGGAACAGCTGTTTGTAACTGTATCCTCCAAACTAATTGAAAGAAGAAAAAAACCTCTCCCAGTCCTGAACATAACACACCCAAAATCAATGAAGGGAGAAATACAAGAGTGTAATGGAGATGGAGTATTGATAGAGAAATATGATTATGGCAAGCAGAAGCTCTCTACTGGGCATTTGTCATTCAAGAAGATTACAACAGTAAATGACACTGAAACAATAATTCAATCTTTTTACATAAGGCTTCACATCCAATATATTTATTTAAAAGAATCCTGATTTCAGTCCACTGCCTTCCTTGGAAAATGCCAAATTACAATAATCTGTGCCTTTTAATCCAACTATCAGAAAGAAAGCTGGGGACAGACAAATGGAGTGCATCCATGTCACTGGGCACAAAAAGGGAACAGTAACAATCAACAGGAAGTTAGGTTTTTTTAAAAGAAATATCAGCTATCAGCTTTACTAGTTTGAAAAATATGGAGTGAATTTTGGTACAAATTTGGTTTTGTTAAGATGAAATAGGCCCCAACAACCTTTGATGAAAGACAACTGTGCCTCTTGGAAGCCAGACCCAAAAAATTGTAGTGAATTTTGTCCTAAATGTTCACAGGAATGCAGCCATAGAAATTAAGGAGATCAGAAACTACGGTACTGCTATATCACCTTGTTCTTTTGCTCCTCTTTGAAGCATGGAACTGCTGTTCCATTTTAGATTTCAGAAGTATGACCAAAGAGCCCAAGTTCTCTTATACAAGGAAACTCAAGATGGAGAATTTAATCTCAATCTCTACAAAAGGAAGCAATATAACTCCTCTCTGCTGCCTGTTTGCAGGTTACAAGATATATTCAAGCAACATATTTATAGTGTAGTTGCATAGAAGGCAACTCAATGAAACTCCACTAACTTTAAAATTATAACCATATTAAAACATATAAAGTTATAACCAGAAGTCAACATGGGTTTGTCAAAAACAGATCATGACAAACAAATCTTATTTCATTCTTTGACAAAGTGACTAAATTAGCGGTCTAGCAAAATGAAATCCCTGGCTCAAAATCTTGGGAGTCCTGGTTGCAGTGGTTCTCAACCTTTTCCTCACAATGGACCTCCTTTAAATACGTTTTGTGGCCATGGACCTCCTAGACTTAACTCAAGTTTTAAATTATAACATTTCTTCAAGCCTTCGCAGACCCTGTGTGACAACATCACGGCCCTCCAGAGGTTCATGGACCACAGGTTGAGAACAACTGTCCTAGTGATCAATCACTTAAATATGAGACAGCAGTGTGTTGCAGCAGCCAAAAAAGCCAATGCAATCCTTGGTTGCACAAATAGAGTGATAGAGTCAAAATCACATGAACAATTAGTACCGGTTTATAAAACCTTAGTAAGACCACATCTGGAATACTGCATCCAGTTTTGGTCACCTTATTATAAAAAATATGTTGAGACTTTGGAAAGAGTACAAAGAAAAGCGACTAAGACAATTAAGGGCCTGGAGACTAAAACATATGAAGAACAGTTGCAGGAATTGAAGAAGGATTAGAGGTGACACAATAGCAGTGTTCCAATATTTGAGGAGCTGCTACAAAGATAACCAAGTCAATCTATTTTCCAAAGCACAAGAGGGCAAGACAAGAAACAATGGTTGGAAACTAATCAAGGAGAAAGCAAGCTAAAACTAAGGAGAAACTTCCTAACAGTGGGAACAATTAACCAGTGGAAGGGCTTGCCTTCTGAAGTGGGTGCTTCATCATTGGAGGCTTTTAAGAAGAGACTGGATGGCCACTTGTCTGAAATGATATAGGCTCAACAGTTTGAGCAGAGGGGTTCAATCAGAACTCTATCCTTCCAATTCAGTCCTTCTGTTCTGTTCTCTTCTTTCTTCTCTTCTTTCATGGAATTTACCCAACAATTAAGTCAGAAATAACTGAATAACTTAAAAACAAGAAGTATAATCAAGATTACTAGTGTTAATATATAATCTTATATTTACATTATATAAATATATACTACTTGTAGTATGTTACATTATATTTAGATTAAACAGAATACTTAAGATTTTAGTAAGGCATTTGACAAAGTAGACCATAGCCAATTTCTTGATATGATAGAAAAATGTGGGATAGACAACAGCACTACTAGATGGATTCACAACTGGCTGACCAGCCGCACTCAGTGTTTAGTCCTCACTGGTACTACATCTACATGGAAGGAAGCATGCAGTGCACTTAAGTATGAGCCAGCAGTATGCTGCAGCTGCCAAATAATCCAATGCAACCCTAGGACGCATCATCAGAGGAACAGTATCACATTTTGTATGACACTAGTACGACCATACTTGCAATATTGCATCCAGTTTTCATCACTACCATACAAAAAAAAAAAAAAGCTCACTAAAGAGAGATCCAACTTAGAATTAGGGAGAAATTTCCTGACAGTTAGAACAATTAATCAGTGAAATGGCTTGCTTCCAGAAGTTTTTGGGCGCTCCATTACTGGAGGTTTTTTAAAAAAATAGTTTGGACAACCATTCGTACAGACTGCTCAAGCTGGGGATTGGAGCACAAGACCTCCAGGGCCTTCCAACCTTGTTATTCTACGTTCTACTGCTAAAGTCACATTACATAAAAGAAAAGTTCCATTCATTTCTATACTCATCATCTGAATATTACTCAGAGAAGACAAAAGATAGCATAAAGAAATGTTTTGCCAAAATGGTAAGAAGGTTTTTGAAACTTCAGATTTAATTATTTCACTGAACATATAACACTTCACTTGTGTGTCTATGAGAAACTCTCAAAAAGCAGTGTGAGTTGTCTGATACTAAAATTTTGAATGAGAAGTGAAACGTTAAAAAAAACCACAACAAAACAACAAGAAAGTCCAGTTGCCTTTTGGAAAAGCACCTGGATGATTAATAATCTTCACAGACAAGTTAATGGCTTGTCTTTCCTTCATACATATAATTCAATGAATTGTTAAGGCAACTTTTGTCATTACAACAAGTTTGCAAAAACACCAATCATTACTGTAAGTTTGGGTTCCCTAGTCTCCCCATACTACAATAATGTATTGGTGATTTTGGAGAATCAAAAGAGGTTTGAACAGCAATCATTACACTGGAAAGAGATCAATAGTGCAAGACAATGCTGAAGACAACACTCATGGAAACAGCACTAGCCAGGTCATAAACACCTAGATGTCAATTCCTGCTCACTTCACCAATATAAACCCAGCCTCTTTTAAGCTCTCTGCATCAGGAGATTCAAGCCAGAAGCTTGTAAAGGTTATTAGAAAATTCATCAGGCCACAACCAGATATCAAGAGGAACAGCTTGAACAATAGGTTAAATAAATTTGCCCAGGATTGGCCATCCTTCCCCAAAGGGAAATACAGAGGAGAGAGATTCACACAACATTAAGTTAATGTTGATGTACAGGGTCATTTAAAGTTTCCCAGGTTTGCTGCTTCTCCCTACTGATGCATCCTGCTTGCTGCTTCCCCACCTCCAGCAATCAACTCCCCTTCACTGTTGGAGCCCGGTTGGGGGACAACAGAAAAGATAAATAAGCAAACCAAACAACTACCATATATACTGACCATCCACAGGAAAGAATTAGCAAATACAGAAAGCATTTACAAATGCAGGGTAAAACAACTTAAAAGTCATTCATTCATACATACATAGACATACATACATACATACATACATACCCTGATGTCTCTGCCTGTGTGTGTGTGTTTGTGTGTGTGTGAGAGAGAGAAAGTTGTTTTGAGTATGAATCTTCTTGCTGTTTCTCTTGCAGAGGGCAAACTTTGTGTGTGCCATTGCAATGTGCCAGGAATAGCTTGTGCTATTCTAGCAACGAGGCTAGAGTTAATCTCTGATTAGACCCAGCAACTAACAAAAGGCATCTTTAGGATCCTGTACCTTCCTTGCTTGTGTGTTTCAGTAAAACAAAACTAAAGCTGATGCTGAAGAAATGCCTGTTCTGATATCAATCCTGGGAAACAATGCTGGACACTTGGAATGAGAGAGAGGAAGCTTCTTTGCCATTCATTTTCTAAGTTTCTAAGCAACTAGAAGAGAAAGAAGCAGTAATGCCCACTATCTATCAACTATCTTCAACTGGTAACCATCATGTTGGATTACAGTTGGCAGAATTTCCAGTTATGCTGGTAGGAATCTTAGAAGACAAAGTTCAACATAGTTGGTGGGCTTATATAACTATAAATACCAGTATCATGTAGACCAAAATGTGTCCAAAGTGTGCTGTGCCTTTTCAATTTCAACCATTACCTTCTGTTTGTTAAAAATACACATGAAAGAATCTTCTTCTCCCTTCTTTTTCAGATGCTTCCCTAAATAATCTAAGTGGAAGAACAATATTTATCTTTTGCAAATGCATTCTTCAAATTCAATGTCATTTGTGGAGTGGATGTGTTCGCTGAGGAGAGATATTTTGAATTGACTGTGAAAATCAACCCTCTATAAATCAACATCCCCAAACTCCTTTCTTCAGTTCATGTTTATCATAATGCTACCAGTTCATTTTTATCAGAGACATACATCTCTTTCTTGTTTAAATACATTGTTAAAAACTCTCCTTCCTCGGCTTAATGGATTTTTTTTATTCTGGTTTCTCTTTAGCCTAAGAATCAAGGAAACTGTCTTTTCTGACCAAGCCCAACTGACAGCTGGTCTTGAAAGCCCAGGTTGTTGGACTTACATTAACCCAAATACATTTTAAATTAGAAACAAGGCAAGCTATGTCTACAGCAGTTACTTTTCACAGACTTATCAAACATTTGCTGGAATTCTTGCAAAGTAGTTCTGGATCACCAGCAGTGGCCTATTTTGGAGCAAGAATGAATTCATGAGACAGATCTCCACTCTGGAGAAATCTGGGCCAGTCCGAAAAAATAAAAGTAATTTAAAAAGTTAGCTACTCTTGTCCTTCAGTCTTTTAATGTCAAACACTCACTTTACTCAGAAGGCATATGCTGTTGGTATCCTTTATGGTGAGTGATTTTGAGTACAATAGTGCAGGACCTATGCAAAGTATTAAACAATCATACTGCTGCATATTTACCCCAGATGCATGTCAGACTAAACCATACAAAGTTCCCTAAGTGGTTGCTTGGGACACCAAACATTTATCCTGGCTCGCTCCCATATGATGTTGCAGAAGCTGGCATATCCAACAGAGATTCATCAAGTGGTCCAGTCCCCTGTAGGAATAATATGTAGGGCAACTTTTTCCAGACCAGACTGGGAACTGAGTTACTCCTTATGGTGGCACAAACACAACAGCTTTACATTCCTAAAATCAAGAGTATAAAAGTACTTCCTCCTTTTCTTCCATGTGGTCTTGCTTACCTGGACCAAAATATATCTGTCTATCTATCTAAACCTGCTCAGTAATTCTACAACACTTAATGACACAGGAAATTTTAAATTCATTACTCATGGAAGATCACCATGAGTTACCCACCCACAATTCCCATTCCAAAACCACGCTTTCCTTTTACGAGGCCAAGAAAGGAGAAAACAGCCCAAGAGTAGCCAAAACAGAACAGGGCCTGGGAACCAGGATAAACGTCCTGGGATGAGGGTCTGTTTAAGGAGAAGTGGGAGCGGGCGCTAACGGTGGAAAGGGGCTGCGGTGCGGGGGGCGCAAAGAACTCGAACTTTGCTTGCCGAAAAAAAGACAAGGTCCAAGCTTTACGGAGATCTGGAGATAAACGAAGAAGCCTAGCCCTGGGTAGGGGCTTGAAGTCCAAGTGGTGAGACGTGTGGAGAGGGGGGGAAAAACAAGCGGGAGGGATAAACCAGGAAATCGTGAGCACGGTAACTTCCAAGGAGAGCGCCCAGGCGAGTGGGCTGCGCGCTTGCTTACCCAGAGCTCCGTGCCCCAGTCCATGCTGGCTGCGCTCCCGTCGTGCGCCTTCGCGTCCTCTCGTTAGGCCCACCTGAAGCCCAACTCTCCGCTGCCGCCGTTAACCCCACAGAGCCCTACTCCTCCGGCCGCACAACCTCAGCGCCTGCTTGGGACACTCCCTGCTCCGCCCCCCGACGACGATCCTTAAAGGCGCAGTCAGGAGTTGTCAGCGGCTTGTCTCGTCTCGGGTCTCTTTGCGCCTTCCTTGTTTATTGACGCGCGCAGACCGCCCAGCCCGTCCTTCACCCCCGCCCGTCAGGATCCAGAAGGTCGAGAGCGCCATCCTTTGAGATGCCGGCGTCGCTGCTCCTCTCCGGCCCGAGCTCAGTGCCCGAGCCCCGGTTGATTCCTTTTAAGATAAAAATGGAGCGCAGTCCCTCGAGGAGGACCAACTCAGCAGCTGCTTCAAAAGTCCCGGAGGCTCGTTTGCTGGCTTTGGTAACGTCTTCCTTGCAAGAGCTGCGGAGAACCCAAAAAATGTACGCTGGTTTGTGGCGCTTGGGTTGATTCCAAGAAATACTTCCCAGGAAAAATTCCACCAGGCAGTTCAAGCCGGTCCCAAACACGGTTACTTAGAAATAACCCGAATTCGGGGCGGGGAGGGCGGGAGTCGTTGTTTAGAAAAACAAGCCCTCTATTCTGCAGTAGGAGCGGATCTCCACGATCGTTGTTTTTTTTTTTAATCGCCAAGCTGTAGAAGCGGATATAAAAGGTGTTTACAGCAGCAGGAGCAGGGATTTTGTTTGTGGTCGAGGAAGAGAAGTCCTGGGCCGAGGCCGGTCCTTCCAGATGTCCATGTGCTGCCGGCCTAGCCGACCCACCTAGGAAAGCGTGGTTTCGGTGTTCCCGCATTCCTCGTGATAGCATACCTCCGGCTGTGGACGCCTGCTAAGAATTGCCTGAAGCCCCACAAGCCGGAATTTTGGTAAAGCTGTAGTCCCGTTTCTGCTTTATGATGCAAAAAAATAAATCACACCCCACCTTTTTTTTTTGTTGGAAAGAGCGTCCTCCGCATCTAATAACGAGTACCCACGCGTGTTGATAGATCTTGTTAAACAGCATTCAAGGAAATCAGTGGTGATGTTACTGATGCTGCAAATATGCAAATAAAGCATTGTGAATGTCTGTGGAAGGTGCAAGCAACAGTAGAGGAAAGTCACATTGTTTGGATTGCCTTGTGCCAAGCGGAACAAGACAGTGTAGCTTTTAATGAACAGGACTTCATAGTATTGTAATATTTGTGGCCATTCCCACTTCATTCTTACTCCTTTCCGACCAGTCAGATCAAACCAAAAAAAGTGTGCTCTGGTTAGGAGCAAACTGGCCTCTGTTGCCTACACCCATACATACTTTTTTGGGGTGTGCATGGGGCGTAGTAAAACAAAGAGTTTCATGTCATTTGAAAGACTTAATAACTCAGCTGCAGTAGCTGAGTATGCTTTAACAAGCACATCTTATGGTGAGAGTGCTAGGTACATATATCTAGCTTATTGAATAGAAAGATTAGGAGGGGCATTATAGCTGTCTTTCAGAATTTGAGGGATAGCCACAGAAAATATGGGGTGGACTTATTTCCCAATGCACTTGAGGACAGGACAAGAAGTAGTGGGTGGAAGCTGGTTAAAGAGAGATCTGGAACTAACCTAGAACTAAGGAGAAATTTCCTGAGTGAACAATAGAATAGCTTGCCTCCTGGACAGTGGTGGGATTCAAAAAATTTTACTACCGGTTCTGCGGACATGACTTGGTGGGCATGGCAGGGGAAGGATACTGTAAAATCTCAATTCCCTCTCCACCCCACTAACCTGCTTTCCAGCTCCGTTCTCCTGTGCAAGGCAACAAAAGAAGACCCAGCCTATCAGCTGGGACTTGGGAGGCAGAGAATAGATGGGGGTGGGGCCAGTCAGAGGTTGGATTTGCCAGTTCTCTGAACTACTCAAAATTTCCGCTACCGGTTCTCCAAAACTGGTCAGAACCTGCTGAATACCACCTCTGCTCCTGGAGGTGTGGATGCTTCATCATTGTAGTTTTCAAAAATAGACTGGACAGTCATTTATCCATGATGGTAATGTCTCCTGCCTTGAGCATGGGGTTGCAGTATAAGACCTCCAAGCTCCCTTTATTTGTTTTTACTTATTGAATTTGTATACCACCCGTTTCCTCTGTAAGATGACTCCTGTCCCTTCCAGCTGTGTGTTGGTGACTAGCCCATGCAAATTCGATGGATTCCAAAGGAGGAAGAGGAAGAACTGCAGGAGTAAAAATGGAATGCCTGGTGAAACTTCAGACTCGCACATTTATTATTGCTTAAGATTTCACAGAGCACAGAGGACTTCAAGTGGTTGGCATCAGTTCTGGAAAAAGGAGCACTACTTATATTGATGGAAGTGAAATATAAAATACATAATTTAAAAAGAGAAGTGAGATAATATTGTGGGCTTCGTATACATGTAGCCTTTCACTTACTACCACAATTGGGAACAGAATTTCTGTTAATTAGCAAGGTGGTTAAGTGAGTCGCACCCAATTTTATGGCCTTGCTATGATTGAGTGAATCACTGCAGTTGTTAAATGCATCGAGTGGTCATTAAGCAAATCCAGCTCCCCCCACCCCCATTGACTTTGCTTGTCAGAAGTCAGCTGGAAAGATCACTTTATCACACGGATACTATCTTAAAAGGCAAAAAGCAAACAATTAAGTGGCTTAATAAGATGTATAATGCTGGCCAGTGAGAATAACATTCGGGGGAACATGTGGCATTCCAGATTTTACTGAAATAGAGCTCCCCAAACTCCCTCCTATTTGTTACTTTTTTTCTGCAAAATTCCAGGATTTTCTCACTCCTGATGCATGATTTTGGATTTCTTGTTTACATGACGTATTTTCTTTAGAGGTAAACTTATGCCCAGGAATGGATATAGGATTTCACCAAACTTAATAAAAAATATAAAGTTTCTCAAGGCTTTTTTGTAGTAAGCATAACAAACTTGCTCAGCAAAATATACCTTGACCCTCCACAGCAGGAAACTTCACACCAGTTTTCCGTGCTCCTAATTTCAGCAAATTTTGCTTCCTTTTGCATGTGAACTTTAGAACTAACTAATATGGGAAGGAAATGACTGCAAAGTACAGATAGTGCACAAGTTATGACCACAATTGATCCCAATATTTCTGTTGCTAAGTGAAACAGTTGTAAGTTTTGCCACATTTTATATCTTTTCCACAGTTGTTAAATGAATCACTTGTAGTTAAGTTAGTAACACAGTTGTTAAGTGAATCTAGCTTTTCCTTTGCTTATTAGGTCACAAAAAGTGATCACATGACCCCAAGACACTTGAACCATCATAAATATGAATCAATTGCCAAGGGTCTGAATTTTGATCATGTCACCATAAGGAAACTGCAATGTTTGTCTGAAAAATGGTCATAAACCACCTTTTTCAGTGATGTAACTGAACGGTTACCAAATGAACTGTTGTAAGTGGAGGACTACATGTAAACCCCCCCCCCCCCCCCGTGGCAAATTTTATGCTTGTTATGTGCCTTCACAGAATCCTGTAATAGTGTTATTGTGATCTAGAGTGAAACAATGTCGAGGTTTTGGCTTGCTTCCTAAAAGTATACAGGTAATCCTTGACTTATAATAATTCATTTAATGACTGAAGTTATAACAGCACTGAAAAAGTGACTTACGACTGTTTTTCACAACTGTTGCAGCATCTCCGCAGTCATGTGATCAATATTTGGTTGCTTGGCAACTGGCATGTATTTGATGCTTGCAATGACTTAGGGCAGGGGTGTCAAACTCATGTCAGCGTCATGTATTGTATCGCGGCTTTTTCTCCCCCTTTGCTAAACCGGGCATGGCCAGCATGTGATACATCTGGGCCACTGGCCGTGAGTTTAACAGCCCTCATTTAGGGTCATATGATTTTATCTTTTGTGACCTTCTGATACATAAAGTCAATGGGGAAGCCAGATTCACTTAACATCTGTGGGAAGAGATGTCATAAAATGGGGCAAAATGCACCTAACTGTCTTGCTTAGGAATGGAAAATTTCAGCTCAATTGTGGCCATAAATTGAGGATACCTGTATGATAAAAAAAATATATATATTGGTTTATGGCTATAAGTTCTATTCTAAACAAAGTGTACCATTCATTAAATTTCCACACACATGCATACATTAGGGTTGCTTTGCCCAGTTGTGTTTTCTGCCTAGGCCTTCTTTAGTGTTTTCCAGCTACCTGAAATCACCAGAGCAGCAGTGGCTGTTTTATAAAAACTCCCAGCACTCTGTCAACCCTGCTAAATGTTGTGTGACTATTAGATTGATGCACATTATCTACCCTCACATCAGTATATTAGATTATACTGCCGCCTATCGATCCTTGAGTTCTAATATTCAAGATGTGGTTTGGATGACAAGTCCAAGAGTTTCCAACCAGATTACAGTTGTAGGCTTCAAATTTCTGAAGGGTACCAGTTGGAAAGGCTGACTTGGATTATAGTTATAAGCTAAACAAGAACATCAAGGATTGTTAGACATTTGCAGTACAATTTACTACATGTAGTCCTCAATGTATGACTGCTTTCTTAGTAACTATTCAAAGTTATAATGGACCCAAAAAGAGATACAACACGAATTCAAAGTAACAAAGGTTACCCCCTCCCCATCACATGATCACATTTTGGCTACTTAGAAACTAGCCCCCATATACCGTATGTCCATTTGCAGCATCCTGCTATCACAGGTTTATGGGTTTTTTGACAAAAACAGGGATTTATGTCTGGTTTCCAGCAAAATATGCCCATTGTAGACAATGGGTTCATTAATGACTGTAGAGTTCGCTTAATGATTGCAATTTTCTTAACGGCCATGATGATTCACTTAACAACCACTGCAAAAAGTCATAGAATTGAGTTGGTCATGATTACTCACTTAATGACCAGCACAATGTACAACCATCATTCTGGACTCAATTACAGTTGCATGCTGAGGACTACCTGCACATAAATATTGAGACAAAATAATTTTATTCTAATAACCATCCAGTAAAATTTAGAAAGAGAAGCTTAAACAGATATTTTGATCTTGGATGTTTCAGGATCAGCTTTTACTCCAGTGCAGCACATTAACTTCTTAGCTGGGTTTATACATTGTATTAAACAATAAAGTGCAAAAACCACCCACTGTGCTATGTTAAACTATGATTAAACAAAAAATAATTCACCTTTAGACATGAATGCAGTTAGTTGGTCAAGCATTTTATAGGCAGCTGCACAATTGGAGTGAACACAGAATGGAAATCAGATTGGTAACCTCCAATGAAAGCTATTAATAGGGTAGCATATTTGATAATGTGCCTATCAAGCAAAGATTTGACATTTAACTAACTGGTCTTGAAAAAAAACTAAGGAATAATGTAAGAACTTGATTTTATGCACTTTTTGTTTGTTGTGACTGTGAGTCCCAAGATGGCAGTATGGCTGCATCTGGTTGGTGTCATCTATTTAGCACCACCCAGGGAGTACATGTAATAATAATGTAGCTAAAGCAGTGGTGGATTAAGGCTCACTGGTGCCCTAAGCACTGACAAATCTTGGTGCCCCCCTTCCTTTGTACATACTGTACAAACAAAGCCAAGCTTAGGCTACATAAAAGTTTTTGTGGTGCCCCCTTTGGACCTGGTGCCCTAAGCATGTGCTTAGTCTGCTTAATGGTTACTACACCACTGAGCTAAAGCGTTGATATTTATCAAAAGTGGTCATAAAAAACAGAGTATAAGAAATGATTAGGATGTGCCGCAGGAAGTGTTGCCTTCTAAAGCACATCTTATTTCATCCCAAAATAGTAACACAAATATTGTTTTGCTTCAGAACCTCTAGCTTAGCTATGTACAAATGCAATGAGGTAACCAATCTCACTTAACTGAGAAAATCCAAAAGGAGTTGCTGTGTTGTTAAAATACATCTGCTTCAGGCTCATAATAAGAGATTTCGGTGAGGATTTTTTGTTCTGTTACGCGTAGCAAATATAGAGCTTAGCATTCAAAGACCACAATGGCTTTTGACAATAAGGCTACCCCAAGGCTCCATGAAGCGAATTAATAAGGGAAGTGCTGGCACACAGCCACCCAGGCTCCTTTCTGTTACTCGGTTCAGTATTTTGGGTTTTATTTATGCCAGCATCAGCATCTCCAGGATGAAATAGCTTTCATGGTAAGTCATTTAACTTATTTTAGCTTTGTTTGAGGTATAGGGATATCACATATTTTGTCTAGTTTTGTTGCATGTCATTGTTAAGGATAATTTTCCTGGGTGAGCTGTACCTTTTCTCTTTTCCTGAAAGCTTGATTTGGGCCAAGGATTGTATGTCTCAGTGCATAATATGGATATGAAATTAATACACCGGACTAGAACATTCTCTGCTGCATAGTAAACTTAGTAAACTTATACTAATACTTTACATAAACAACTATTTAACAATCAATACTCATAATAGAGTATTCTAATTTTATTACTTACGATGGATTTTGGTCTACTAGTGTATTTAGATAGTGAATTGTTTTGAGCTGAAAAGTCACTTGTAGAAAATGTAGCATTAGAAATACAATGGATTACAATGCATCTAGATTCAAGATCGATGTTAAAGCAGCCATTTTCTATATGTAGGTTTTTATTTCACAGATTATTGAATGTGAAAAGAGCAAAGCTCTAGAGGAAGCAACCCAATGAACAATTACTAGGAAAGAAGTCCACTAAACTAAGACTTCCTTCTGGATAAAGATGCATAGGATTTCCTCAGGCCTCAAACTTGCCAATGCCTGTGTAATGTGAATACTTTTGGTTCTGCTATATATAAAAATGTCTTCTGAATCATGTACATACTTTGGGGCAATAATGCAAATTAACTAACTGATCCTACTCTGTTTACAAGTCTTCTGCCCCAATTAAGGATTTGGGAACTGGCAAGTTGTATTTGAAAAAGAAATAAAAAAATATTGTAAGCTAACTTTTTCCCAATAAAAATCTGAAAAGTACTCTACATTAATGACATTTTTCTTTCCATATTACCTCCTAATCTTTGCTTTGCTTTGTGTCCTTTTATAGTGTTCTTTCCTATTTTACAGTAATTGGTCCTCTAGACAATTTTTTTTCAGGAACAGAAAGCCATTTAAAATATGCACTCGCTCTCTTTAGCGGTAAGAATTGTTTTGACTACATCTTTCATTCTCAGAACTAACTTCAGCGAAGTCCTAATAATTGGACTTCAAGAATTGGAAAACATGTTCAGTAGGGAATGCATTTAGGTAGAAGCCCAGACTCCCAGTGCATTTTTTAAAGATTAAGCATTATAAATAATCGATGGGGTGCTGGCCCTATTATTTACCAAAGTAGCCGTTCAACTTTCATAATTCCTCAGCCAGGATAACCTTTGATGAGAATTCTGCGAACTTCGAAGTCCACTCATCCAGAAGTTGCCAAGATTGGAAAAGGCTGTACTGTAGAAGATTGACACGGTCTATTTTGGATCACATCACTTTGGACCAAATGCAGGGTGACATTTTTGATTCATTTTTGATTATTATAGCTTATTAAAAATGTATTATTCAAAGATGTTACATAAGAAACACCAAAAATATGACACTCCTTGCAACCCCCAGATCAAAAATACTATCTCATTCTAATTTATTGCTTTAAAGCAATGCAAGACCCACCCCCAAAATACATTGAATCAGGCCAGGGTCACCTCATTCTGCACTACGAAAAAAAAAAATCTGTAAGCTATAAGTATGATCTTGTAGCCAATGAACAGACTCTTTTCAGAAGCCTATTAGGAAATAAAGGGCTCTGAGGCAGCTAGCATCTTCTATACTTGTGGGCAATCTAGTCCATATCTCGCCTCTTCCTCCACTGGAGCATTTTAAGGAGGCTGAGACTGGCTTTGAAGAGCCGATCATGTTGGAAGATCATTTGATGAAAAGTATTGAGAGGCAGGTTCCCACTGGGGTCCGCATGTTTCAGAGTGGTTATGGGTGTGTAGAAGCTATTGGTTTGATATCGCAATGGAGGATTCTCAGAGGTGATCACTTTCAGCACATGCTGCCAGAAAAAAGAGCAAGACATGGAATTAGAAAATGCAGACAACTACCTGTGTTTTACAGAAAAGTATGTTTGGATGAAATGGGGGGGGGGGTATAAGTTAATTAGAATGGGGAAAGGTAACAAACATATTTACAGGTCTAATCTTACAGTCAAGATGAAGCTTCAAACAATCATGATATTTTAAAAGCTTTACATTGCAGTTTTGAAGAAGACTATTAACTTGGTCAATAATAAGGTTATTGGATCAACTGTAGAAGCTGCCATCTGTTTTTTTTAACCAAAGGAGGTTCACATCTAGTATATACACACCATGTTCACATATACATAGGCTTATTATTACGCTTCTCATAGTAGTCATTCAAGGCTGTATTACATATTTGGAAGCTGACGGGAAGCTTAACTTCTCAGACCAAGTTAATATTATGAGATTATTGGAGGGAAGCCATCACTTAATAAATTCAATTACAGTCATGATGAGTGCATTGTTTAAGAACTGAAGAAACAGGGAACAGATCTAGAAAAAGACTTCTGGCTTTGTGCAGATAAGTACAGCACATCTCTCGTGTTTTCATGCAAAAAAAGTGCAGTTTTAAGAAATCCACTCAAAGTCAATACAACGATTCACACAAGGTCTGAAGCACTTTGAATCATTCTTAAAGTTGTCGTAGCCCTGACCTATATTGTTAGTAATAAAAAAGATTATCTCTCTCTCTCTTTTTTTGCCTATAACAGGGGTCCCCAACCCACAGTCCATGGACTGGCCCTGGTCCACAGCATGCCAGGAACCGGACCGCACAAACAAACATAGCCCCATGTGTGGGATGCAGGCAGCATGCAAAACCTTCTGTTCCACGGAAAAACTTCTCTCCACAGAACCGGTCCCTGGTGCCCAAAAAGTTGGGGGCCATTGGCCTATAATAATAAATAAAATGCTGGCAAAGCCCATTTCCAAGAGATCATATACAATTAAGTTTTATGGAATATTTTTCTTTGCACCAGTGGTATATGCTACTTAGACCACTCAGGCTCCTTGCCATTATCACTTTGGGCTCAGGTTGGCTTCCCCACAGTCAAAATTACAGACAAAGACTCCATCCAAGCATAAGCCATTTTTCATAAAATGCCATTGCATTTCATTTTTCTTCCTTGTAGGTCTCACATAGCCCCAATGCAATTTGTTTTGTTAAATCTGTTAAGGATTTTTTAAAAAATTGTATTCCACCTTCATTATTTTAACTCAAAGCAGTGAATCTATGGGACATACCTTCTTCCTATTTTCCCCATAGCAACAACACTTTGAGGTAAGTTGGGCTAAGAGAGAGTGACTGACCCAAGAAAATAGATTTAATATAGCTGTCCAAACAGTAACAGATGTAGTAGTTCGGGATCTGAGATAGTTTTCAGAAAGCCCCAGGGAGTACCCAGTTGGCTTTCATGGCTAAGGCAAGACTAGAATTGATAGTCTCCTGCTTTCTAGCCTGGAACCTTATCCACTACACTAGACCAAACTGGCTCTCTTTTTTGCTAATAAGCCTGACACATACTTAGTTATTTCGTTATTTTATTTATTAAATTTATATACCACTCGTCTCCCCTACAAGGCAACTCTATTTGCCTCGTTCACTCATTTCCATGCTAGAATAGTACAGCAGAATATATTAGGAAGCGAAAATGGTTGGTTAAATAGACCTGCTCAGAAGTTGCCCAATATGATTCAAAGCCGAACCTATCCATGAAAAAAATAAAAAAATCCAAATAATAAATGTGAAGAAATAGAATAATCAATTGTTCATAGGCACAAGGACAGGGTAAAATGCATTTGCTAAAGACCCAATATATAAAACCAATATGTCATTCAAAAACTCATGGTCTCTGAGATAAGCAAGTATATATAAATATGACAAATACTGATTTCAGAGTATGCAGTCTGTAAATTAAGCTGACTGACATTTCTATATATGGTATCAAGCTTAAGAGCAATGATAACCAAGGGGGAACACCTTGAAGCAGAATGGGACAACTTGCCTCAGCCAACTTGCTGCAGTCAACTCGCTATGACCAATTCACAGCCAACTCGCTGCAGGACAATTTATATTTAACAATTTAATTATTCAAAATAAATAAAAAAATATTTTAATTTTTGCCATTCAAATTCCATTTTGTCCCTTCTTTTTCACCCTTTCCTTAACGATTCTATTCCACCATTTCTTTGATATTCGTATAACTCTTGTCCCATCGTGAATTGTTCCACGGCAAGTTGGCCATGGCAAGTTGGCTGTAGTGAATAAACACATCTGAAGACCTGCTTAATGTAATAAACACTTGGTGTGGTTGGAAACTAAATCTTTTAGCTCATGAAATGGAGGCAAAAAGCCTGAAAATGGATTTGATGCTGCATACTGCTAAGAGAAAATTAAGAGAAATATATTATCAGTCTGTCCAATTACATCTTCCCTATAAATTAAAAAAAAAACACCATAAAGCAGTTTGACATCTAAAGAAAGAGTTTCTTGAAGATATGGGGATTTCTTATAAGTGCTTTTTACCTTTTTTAGGAACTCTTTTTTTTTCTGGGGCTTTCTGAAACTATCTCAGATCCTGAACTGCTATATCTCTGTTACTATTTGGACAGCTATATTAAATCCATCTTCTGTGATCAATTGTATATAATCTACAACACAGTGGTTTATATCAAGTACTTGATGGTCTTGTACTTTGGAATTGGTGATAATCAAGGGTGTTTATAAGCAATTTCAGCCACGTAAATCAATGAGAGATTACATTGCAATGTAACATAATAGTGATGGGCTTCGTTATTAGAACTATAGCTTTAAAGTTGACAGCTGGCCTTCAATTGTACCCAGAAGCCAACCAACAACCAATGCTGCTTCCGAAGTAGCAGAGTTCTCTGAAGCCATAAACTAACCCAGTGATTATACACCTACTAGATATGTTGTGTGAATATGTGATGGTTCCTCAAAATATGCCAATATATTATTTCTTTTTCTTTCTTTTTTGGGGGTGGATGGAGAGGTGGGGAACCCTGGCTTGATTAATCTTCTGGAGTCAGTCAATACAGCAAGTCACCTGAAGAAATTAAGGCTCCAGGCCATAGCAGAGGCATCAGTAAGCACCAGAGTCTAGGCATTTATTCCAAAATAGGTAGGGAGAAACATTATCCTACCTCAGCCACCTCTTCTGGAGTCTGCCCCAGTGCAGTGAAGACCTCTTTGGAGTAGGCTAGGTAGAAGTTGTGGAATATATCTAGTGTCTCTTTATCTACACCAGAGAGATCCATGCTTGCTGCCTCTTCATAAAGCTTCCTCTCAAACTCTGATAACACTGGTCCTGGCTCAATCAAACTGATTCTGTAGGAGGAAAGAAACAGTGAATAATCAAGATCCCCCTCACTCTTCCACTGATGAGCGACCTAACAATCTGTTTGACAAAGAACCAAGTTTCCTCTTGTCTTCTAACATCATCAAGAACCAGCAGTATGCCAGGCATCCCAGCCGATGTGACCTTAAAGATGGTTGCTATTTGATTTGATTGCTTATTGTACCCTATGACTATTATTAAGTGTTGTATCTTATGATTCTTGACTCTAGATGAATGTATCTTTTCTTTTATGTACAGAGAGCATATGCACCAGACAAATTCCTTATGTGTCCAATAACACTTGGCCAATAAAGAATTCATTCATTCATTCATTCATTCATTCATTCATTCATTCATTCACTCATTCTGTCTATCTATCTATCTATCTATCTATCTATCTATCTATCCATCTATCTGTCCATCTGTTCTACATAATTATATGATTTAGAACTCAAGGCCTGAGCTTTACTAAGTAAGAGCTCTTAGCCCACTTCAGTTCAAAAACTATATATACTTGAAGAAAAAAATTGAAAACATTTTACAAATCTCTATTTTGATTCAGAAGAAGTTAATTATAATGCATATCTCATGTTTTCTTTCAGCTCCATAGTCTTTCAGAGAAGGTCTTTCTGGGTCTGATGTTCATAGCAAATAAAACCTTAAATTAAAGAGGCAGTCAATCAATTTTTTATTATTATTTGTGATTAGCATAATAAATTACAATCAAATCTATGAAATGATAAAATGTCAGTAACATTCAAACAACTTTCATCACATTTTCTCTACCACTGAAGTCAACAAATGCAGCAAATAGCACCCCTTGTAGTCCATATTTCAGACAAGGGTTGTAGGATTAGGCACCAATTGAGCATGTTTAAAGACCATCTGTTTTTCAATTAATGTACCTCCAATCTATCTACTTCCAAAGGATTCCAGACCAAGTGCTTGGAAAAAAAGTTTACAATTCCCAACATTAAAGGAGGGTTTCTCTTCTTTACCCCTTTGTTTTTTAAGTGTTCAACAGAGGCATTAGACTAGAGGAGAAATAATGGGATTGAAAAGTTAAAGAAAACACTGAGTGTCTTCTTTACTAAAATAAAATTTAGATTTTATTTTTAAAAAGCCTCAAATGATACTGAATATTTAATTAAGAAATTGAAGGACTTTGGTGCATTATCTAGCTTTTAAGTAAATAAACAATAAAAATGTTGGTTAAGAATATGAGTATACATAAAATCATTATCAGTGAATGATACGGCAAGAATGGACATTGGAGGTTTTCTAGTTCACACACACGCACACACACACACACCACCGTCCAAGGCAGAGTCCTTGTACCATCTAGGAAAAATATTTGTCTAATCTTATCTTGAAAACCTTCAAGATTGAGAGAATTTGATGAAAAGACTGCTTTTAAAATTGAAAAGATTATATATACAGGTGAAACTCGAAAAATTAAAATATCATGCAAAAGTTCATTTATTTCAGTAATGCAACTTAAAAGGTGAAACTAATATATGAGATAGATTCATTACATGGAAAGCAAGATAGTTCAAGCTGTGATTTGTCATAATTGTAATTATTATGGCTTACAGCTCATGAAAATCCCAAATCCACAATCTCAGAAAATTAGAATATTACATGCAATCAATAAAACAAGGATTGTACATAGAACAATATCGGACCTCTGAAAAGTATAAGCATGCATATGTAGTCAGTACTTGGTTTGGGCCCCTTTTGCAGCAATTACTTCCTCAATGCGGCGTGGCATGGAAGCTATCAGCCTGTGGCACTGCTGAGGTGTTATGGAAGACCAGGATGCTTCAATAGCTGCCTTCAGCTCTTCTCCATTGTTCGGTCTCATGTCTCTCATCTTTCTCTTGGCAATGTCCCATAGATTCTCTATGGGGTTCAGGTCAGGTGAGTTTGCTGGCCAATCAAGCACAGTAATCCCACAGTCATTGAACTAGGTTTTGGTGCTTTTGGCAATGTGGGCAGGTGTCAAGGCCTGATGGAAAATGAAGTCAGCATCCCCATAAAGCTCATCTGTGGAAGGAAGCACAAAGTGCTCCAAAATCTCCTGGTAGACGGCTGCGTTGACCCTGGACTTAATGAAGCACAGTGGACCAACCCCAGCAGATGACATGACTCCCCAAATCAACAGACTGTGGAAACTTCACACTGGACTTCAAGCATCTTGTAGTATGTACCTCCCCATTCTTCCTCCAGACTCTGGGTCCTTGCTTTCCAAATGAGATGCAAAAGTTGCTCTCATCAGAAAAGAGGACTTTGGACCACTGAGCAATAGACCAGTTCTGTTTTTCTTTAGCCCAGGTAAGACGCTTCTGACGTTGTTTGTTGTTCAGGAGCGGCTTGACAAGAGGAATACGACATTTGAAGCCCATGTCCAGGATCCATCTGTGTGTGGTGGCTCTTGATGCACTGACTCCAGCCTCAGTCCACTCCTTGTGAAAGTCCCCAACACTTTTGAATGGCCTTTTCCTGACAATCCTCTCCAGGTTGCTTGTGCACCTTTTTCTTCCACACTTTTCCCTTCCACGTAACTTTCTATTAATGTGCTTTGATACAGCACTTTGGGAACATCCAACGTCATTTGCAATTACCTTTTGAGGCTTTCCCTCCTTATGCAGGGTGTCAATGCTGGTTTTCTGCAAAACTGTCAGGTCAGCAGTCTTTCCCATGATTGTGATTCCTACTGAATGAGACTGAGAGACCATTTAAAGGCTCAGGAACCCTTTGCAGGTGTTATGGCTTAATTAGCTGATAAGAGTGGGACACTTTGAGCCTAGAATATTGAACCTTTTCACAATATTCTAATTTTCTGAGATTGTGGATTTGGGGTTTTCATGAGCTGTAAGCCATAATCATCTCAATTATGACACATCACAATATGATTTGATTGTTGATTGTACCCTATGACTATCATTAAGTGTTAAATGTTATGATTCTTGATTCTTAACGAATGTACCTTTTCTTTATGTATACTGAGAGTATTTACACCAAGACAAATTCCTTGTGTGTCCAATCACACTTGGCCAATAAAGTATTCTATCTATTCATAAACTATCTTGCTTTGCATGTAATGAGTCTATCTCATATATTAGGTTCACCTTTTAAGTTGCATTACTGAAATAAATGAACTTTTGCACGATATTCTAATTTTTCGAGTTTCACCTATATGAAGGTTACATTTAATAACATGAACTGCATGTATAATTATGTTAAGGTATGACATGATATCAAAAAGGACATATTAAAGTGGGACAAATTACAACTGTCACTATTGGTAAAATTTCAGTGCTTAAAATAACTTATTACGGGGGCTATTTTTATTTATTTATTTGTTAAATGTATATGCCACCCATCTTCCTGTGGAGTGACTCTCTACAGCTAATGTTGATATTCTTTTTTTCTTTATTCCTTGCACTTTCCTCTACTTTTTTCTTTTCAATTTCTTTTGTTTTTTATATTTTTTCTTTTGTAGAAATTTAAATGTGAAGTGTGTGTGTGTGTGTGGCAGGTTTTCTCAAATTTGGCAATTTTTAGATGTGTGGAGTTCAACTCCCACAACAGCGCATTAGAGATTTGTACCCTTTTAATGTATAAAAATGACAATTCTTGACCCTGTGTGTGTTCCACTAATCAATGTTATTTTCAATACATTTTGGAGAGATAAAAGGTTTCCTTAAGGACCGTCTCCAGATATTCTTCCCATTCCCTGTGTTTAGGATCTAAACTTCACAGAAGATGAGGAGACATAGATCCAAAGGAATATTTCATTTCCAAGCTTTTTTTTAATAATCCATTTTCACTTATATAATTTTACATGGCTGTTATCTGTAAGGACAAGTGGTATTTAAACATTTATTAAACAAAGAAGGAAAAAATAACACTCAGATTTTAAATGACTGCCTGCCCTTTTCTGAACTCTTTATTATTTGTGCACAACCAGCTATCATAATTAATTTCTAGAAGAAAAAAAGGAAAACAGCTAAAAGTTAAAAACATGCAGCCTAATGATTCAACATTCTCCAGTTAAAAGAATCTCAGGTAGAAGATCTGTGTGTGTGTGTGTACTTGAGAGCTCAAAAGTCTTTCAGAGCTAGACAAAAAACAGTATTCCCGCATCTTGATGGAAGGGATATACACATTTGGGAAAAGTTATTTTTAGAATTGCTTCTTTACCACAATTCTCAGAGGTTAACATTTGAGAAAGCTGGTGTCTAGATGCAAGGGCAACCAGCAAAATGAGCTAAATAGAGATCTGAATAAGTACTTTCTCCCTCCTAACTTAGTGTTGCAATCCAGGTCAGTAAGGTAGGGCAGTTACGGATGACTGGGGTGTGTATATGTGTGCTGTTCAATGATTGGAGCTGAAAGCTGCTTTGGCTGGACCATGAAATCTGAGTGGTAAAAATCCACAGGGCCACTAGATGACAACAAAGCGATAAAAAAAAGTGTGGATGTTTGGCTGCCATCAGTATTTTATGGATTCTTTCAGACCAGATTTAATTGCGCTAAACTTTAGTAACTCTGAAAAAATAAAACTCAAGATTTGCATGCAATCTTGAGCTGCGTGCTTGCTCATTTACCTTTTACTGACCCTATCCGGAGTTGTATTAATCTAATAATGCCCAAAGAATTGCAATTCCTTCTCAGGGGAACCTCAGTCATGATCTGTCTTAATTCCAATCCCACTGTATTTACCTGATCCCAAATTTTAGGGCCTGCAGGGCTAAGCTCTCGCAGAAACCCTCCACTGCAAATTTGGAGGCAGAGTAGATATCATTGAAGAGAAGACCTGCAGGGAATTAAATATTGTAAGAAAAAAGTTGACTCATAGACATGAGTGGTTTGTTCTTTTTTGCTATTGCTGACAAGATTTCCCAAAAGAAAACTGATTCTGCTTTGCACTGAGTAGCAAACTTCTCCCTTCTTGGACCTGCCCTGCTGCTGTGCTTTTAATTATACATTGTCCTTTTTAACTCAACATATAGACATTAAAGCAGATAAAGCTTTTCTAGAACCAGAAAGAAGGTATGGAAAAACCTCATGGGTTTATTGTTTAGTATGTCAACCTACTTTGTAAGACTGACTTAGCAGGACCGGTAAAAGAAGGTAGTTAATTTGGGGGTGGCACTGGCTCTTTGCTTGCACAGAAAGAACCATTCAGGCTATTCGATTTGGCATTGAATCATAATGCAGCAAACCACCTGTTAATCTAACATATTGTGTGAACTCAACATATGCCATCAGTCTGTGGCTTGATGTATCATGAGAACCTGGAATATCTGGTTTGAGTTAAATGACCTGAATGGTGTGAATACAGACCTGACTAACAAGTTTTGATTAGAAAACTGAAGTCCAGAGGGTTCATTTTACCCTGTAGTGTAACATCTTGCACTCTGGCTGTGTCTGCAGAATCTACTTAACTAGGTCAATTAAAGACTGAGTAGCTACATTTGTATACTTTGTAGAGCTTTGTTGGTTTAAACTTTACTTATTGTTTAATGTGTTGTGCAAACAAGCCCATTAATTTAGCTTCTCGTACACCCAGAAGAGCAGCCAAGTTAAGCTTGTAAAGCTCCCTGATAGGATGTTGACAAATAAATACACAACAGGTCAGCTTGAATGCTTTTTAAAATCCTCCTCAGGTTCATGAATGATTTTGCCCAGGGAGGAAAGTGCTTTGGGCCCCCTTGCCTTTCTTTGCAAGCACCTTTCCCTGCAAGGTACTGTTAGGTTCCTTTGCGTGACTTGCCTCCAGCTCTTTGTTCTGTAGCAAAGAAAGGACGGAGCTTAATGTTAAAAGCATCTTGACAAGACTGGAAATACTCTCACTGCCTGAAACCTTGCAGAGCTGCTACCTGTCAGAGAAGACAAGATGGACCAACGGTATGACTTGGTATAGGCCAGCTACAAATAGCCTGTATTTAGCAGGTGATGTGGCTGCCATAAAAATCCATTGCTTCCATTCTCCACAACCCATCCCACCCTCATCCTCTGGGATGATCACGGTTGCATGTCCAGAGAATTCTCCAACAACATTCTCCTTTGCCCTCCGAAAGGAGCTTCACCTTGCAAGCCTAGGACGCTGCTCATCACAACAATATGCCCTCTCTTTCGCCGCTTCATGTCAGGGAAGATTTCCTGGATAAGGCGCACCAAGCCAAAGAAGTTGGTGTCGAAGAGGTTTTGGATTGAGGCCATGCTCTGGCTTTCAACTGGACCAATAAGGCCAAATCCTGCATTGTTCACTGTATGGGAAGGGAGTGGTAAGATAGCAAGAGGGAACAGGAGAAAGCAGTATTTCAAATCCTTATGAATTTGCAAAATCAGAGGAGGAGGCGGTGTTACAATCTACTCATTGTCTTGAAATCCTAGCAATTGTTAGCAAAGATGACACTGGCCTACCTTAAGGATATGTTGGGCTTTATCTGTATTTTGAGAAATACCTGAACAAGGTTGTTTCCAAATGGCAACTCACAGATCTTCCCCTATTCCTCAGCAATATACACCACCCACTGCTATCGAGTGATTCATGTGTTACTCCACTACGACAAATTACAACTTGTCACATCCTCCCTAAACCTGCTTTTTTGAAGGTGGAAGATGGAACTTTCAGTTCTGGATTTATGATAAAGTTCCCGTATAAACGCCATTCTGCAGAGAAAAGGATAGCCTAGGCTCCTTGCCCAAATATCTTACATCTAGAACTTCTTTGTCATAAAATGTTCATGGATAAGTCCAAACAGCTTAAACTGGAATTGGCGAATGCATTAGGCATCTTAGATGTAACTTCCCCAATTTGTTACCATCCCTCAGCCAGCATCTACGGGTGCTGGAAATCCTAAAAAGCACAGTCCAAAGATACCTAGGGGACATCTAATTGGGGTAAAAAGCTCCTGATAGATAAAAGTCTAATTCAGACCTTATGTTCCAGTTTACAGGCTTTGGCAGTGACCAGACCAGCTGGTGCAAAAGGAACATTAGACTGTATAGACTAGTAGTCACAGTCCAAGCAAATCCTCTTCATCCTGTATAAGAGGGGCTTTATTGGGGGAAAGGGTTTGCTTTCCTACCCAGCACATCCACCCTGCGTTGGGGGATGCTGTTCACGCAGCGCCTGATGGAGTCCTCACTGGTCACATCCAGTTCTTTAATTTCAAGCATCTTATCCAGGGCAGGCCCCACTTGCTCCTTCAAGGCTTCACTTTTCTCCAAATTTCTCATGGTGGCAAAAACTAAGAAAAAAGAATGTACACCAGGAATTATAAGGCACCACTCTGGCCAAGTTAGGGAGGGCTTCCTTTCCTTCTTTGAAGTTGATGTGCTTCCTAGCATCCTTTCTGGGCTCCAGGCAGCCTTACCTCGAAATCGTTTCAACTCATCTCTTGCCAGGCGCACTGCCAGGGCCAGCCCAATGCCAGAGGAGCAGCCTGTCACCAGCACATTTCGCACAGCCATCATTGCCTGTGGGAGGAAAGCAAAAGAATAGGAGACAAACCTCAGGAATAGAACCATGGCTAAAGATATGAATGGAAGTCCTTCGTACTGACAAAGTGTAGAAACCCTGTGATTCCCACAAGTCCCCTCACATTTACAAATAATTTCAAGGCTCTTTCAGCCTTCTTCCCATCTAAAAAATGGCCATAATCATAATGGTCTACTTTGCAAAACTAATGAAAAGATGACTGAGTTAGTCTAAAGTTCTTTGAGCATTCAGAAAGTAGGTATGATTTTTAATGTTCACAATGAGTACAAAGAAGTTTTTAACCAACTATAGTATTTCCACAACTGAATCATTTTGTCAGCTAAAGTGGAATGATTTTGGGGCTTAATCCTGATTGGGGAGGGGATAAAGGAGCCTGTGACCTCTGGATGTTACTAAGACAGCTCTTGGTTGCTCCCCTCATTGTCTTTCTGGCTGGAGTTGCTGGGTTGAAATTTGGAAAAGGTTCTTTGTTGCCCCAGCCACTTATTTCTCCTCACAGTCTCACTGGCACTAAAGAGTAACGTGACTATCTATACATCTTTTCACTATCAAATGTAGGACTATGGAACATAAAAGAAACTGCAGCATAAAATGCCATACTGTCCATAGCTGTTGTGCTGCTGAACCAAACGTTCAAAATACTTCCTTCACAGTCCTCTTTTCCTGTGCATGACCAGGCACAAGAGTTTACCTATAAGGAGGCAAGTGTTATTTAAAAGACTTACATTTATTTAAAAGACTTACATGGCTGTCCATCATGCATACCATAATTTTGGCTGGCTCACAAAACAATTATAAAAATTGTAACAACTCCCGAAATCTCAAAGGCAACAACATCCTTCCCACTTGCCAGAATGGGATGATTTGACACGCCTATCTCGACAAGGTCAGCAGGAGGCACCCTTCTCACCACCGACAAGTCCCCCTCTGCCAACTTGCTGCTTCCATCTCTTTGCGAGGCATCTCAACACTAGAAATTTATTTCAGGGATAACGCGAGCGAGCTGGTTGTCAGAGGGGGGGGGGCACTGTGGATGGAGTGGGAGGCAACAATGCAGAGGCAATGGCATGGGATGGGGTGTCAAAATGGGGAAGCTTCCTCCACCCTGCTTTTTTTTTTTAAAAAGCGCATTGTTTAATGGTTGAGAGTGTTTTGTTCTGAAAATAAGGGCAGCTTTGTAAAGCAATGGGGTGGTATGTCAGCTTTTTTTAAAACTAAAACATCTTGTATTGAGTTGCATTCAAATCCTTGCCTCTCAAGCAGATTTCAAAGTTTGCAGCCATATTTAGCCGTGGGATATGATGCACTACAGAAATGGGGCTGCGTGGACAGGAAACTTTGGAGCCCAAACTAGAAAAAAAACCCTCTTCTTAGCATTACTCTTTTCACAACATCCGTGTCAGCTTTGGGGGGGAAACATTGCTGCAACTCTCCATCCAAACGCACTCTGCCCCTGACCGGAAACACCAAGAAGTCATCCACCTGGCTCTGAGGAGGGGAAAAGCACTCTGCACGTGAACAGAAACACAACTATATTATCCACCTGGCTCTGTGGGCACTTCGTTGCAACATTCCAAACAATCAGAAGTGTTTCTGGTCTTTCTTTTTCTTTTCTCCCCCCCGACCCCAGGCTCACTTCTCTTTCCCCTTCTCCCCATCACTGTGTCTTCCTATTGGCTTTTGTATTTTTGTATTTTACTCTATAATCTAATAAAATGTTTTTTAAAAAAATAATAATATAAAAATAAAAAGTGTTTCTGGTCATATGCAGACTGCTTTCATGGTGTTTCTGATCGTGTGAAGAGTGCTTTTCTCTAAAGCTGGAAATTTTGCAACCTGCTTGATGGGCAAGGATTTGAATGGAAGTCAAAACAAGACCTTTTAGTTTTTTAAAAAGCTGACATCCCACCCCATTGCTTCCCAAAACTGTCATTATTTTCAGAGCAAGGCAGCCTCAAACATTAAGCAAAGTGGCTGTTAAAAAAAATGTTGCAGGGTGGCAGGAGCTTTCCATTTTGATACCCCAACCCACATCATTGCCCCTGCACTGTTGCCTCTAACTCCACTCTCCACCCATCACTGCCCCCTCTGACAGCCTGCTTACTCACCCTCACTGGCTCTCCATTCTGTGCCCACAGCGAGTTATCCCTGCAGCAAATGTCTGGTGTTGAGATGTCCTGCAAAGAGATAGAGGCAACGAATTGGCAGAGGGGACTTGGCAGTGGCAAGAAGGCTGCCCCCAGTTGGCCGTGTTTAGCTAGCGGCGTTGAGACATCCTAGAAACCCCCCCACCCCCTGGACATCTACACTGAATTCTAGCCAGCTGTTCAAGGTCTTCTGGAAGACTAGGAGTGTCCCAGCCCGTCTGGAAAGTGGGGAGAGTTACAGAGGAGCACAGAGGTGAATTTAGAAAAACAATGCAATAATCTTTAGTAAAACTCAGCCCAGGAAAGCTGGAAAATATGAGAAGTTTACCCCACCTTGACTCTGTTTGGTAAAAAAAAAACAACCCAGGAAAATTGCCAGACTTCCAAGATTCTGAGTTTCACGGGTGTCAAATTTGCGGTGTCACATTGTCATCACGTGACATATCTTAACTTTTTTCCCACTTTGCAGAGCTGGGGTGAGTGTGGCCTGTGCATGTTGAATACGGCCCAAGTTTAGTTTGATACTAGATCAATAAAGTTTTAGCATTTCATTTGATGTCTGTTTCTTGTTTTTCCTTTTAAAGATTGATTTATTAAAGACCAAAAGACATCTGAGGTCTTTTCCAGCCATATGATTCTATATTCTAATAAATACATTCAAAGAAAAAAACTCAAGTGAATGTGAAAAAGAAAAAGGAAATGAAGAAAGAAAAAGGAAATAGAAAAAAAGAAAATAAAAGAACAAAAAATGAAAAAATAATTGAGGAAGTGGCTTCCAATTTTCCTCTCAGTCCTTATACATACAATTTTAATCTCTCTCTTAAATTGTATCATAATTTCCTTCTTTCTATAACCTATTCTTTCTCATCGTAAGTCACAAAATCATTTTTTACACAAAAATACCATAAGAGTTAGAGCACTGGAGGCATAATCTGAAGTTTGGATGGCATGGATGATAAAGTTAAATGTGGATAATAAATAACATTTTATTAGATGTGCCACACTGAGAATAAGGAATAGATATAAACCCAGGCTATGCCTGAAAACACCTCTATGGATCTTGGCACAAGAGAAACAGTAGGCAAAGACAGAAAGTTAATGTAGCAGAAATTATTGGAGAATCACCAAGAGGAATGTAAAATTAAATCTAGGGAACAACTAAAGGCAGAATGATGTATTCCTCAATGGTTTTCCCATTTAGAGTTATATCAAAAGGATTTAAAATGGATAAAAAGACTTATGGTATAGAACAAAGTAAGAGAATATGAAGTGCAATTGTATACTAATGATGATCATGTAATTGCTAAAATGTATAAACTTTTGTTAAAATTTGAAATGGAAGAACAGGTTAAAGAATATTATAAAAAAGGGCTATGAATTTTGATTATAATATACAGATGGATCAATGGGAAAATATGTGGTCAAAGGGTTGAAATTTACATTAGGTTATAATCTTTTAAAAAGGGAATTTTTATAAATTGATGGATGATGCCGGAGAAATTATATAGAATGCATAAAGGAAGCCCAAATGCATGTTGGAAATGTAAGCAACACAAAGGGACATTTTATCATTCATGGTGAACATGTAAAACTAAAAAATTTAGATTCAAATATACACATTGATACAAAGGATTTTAAAGATTAATATTAAAGCCACAACATTTCCTTTCAGGACTGATGGCTACACAGAAAAATCATAGAAGTTTACATCAGTATATTATTAATCCATTAAGATTAGTGTATACATGAAAGTTGAACAAAACTGGCATGATCCATCTTGGAAAAATGGTTGGTGAAATTGCCAGAACTTGCTGAGATGCCAATGGACTTCTGTGGTTGGAGAAAAGTAATTATTGACATTTGTCTTGTTTCTGACCTGGCCCATCTTGAAAGACCTCATTTCTCAAGGTCTTGCATCCTGCCTGCTATTTTGAGCTGCTTCTCTCGACAGTAGCCCAGAAAGGCATGAATTCTACTAACCTGCCCCTTCCCCAACTCAACCAAGGTTAATAAATTTTACTTTTGCCCAATTTTGTATCCCCTGCAAAAATGTAACATTTAAGAAACATTCTTTCCATCTCTTTCATCTTACTTATTAAAAAATACAGTTGAAAAATAGGGGACTCACGACTTGAGGATTTTAATGTTTCAAGCAAGTCTTAATATTTAAATCTTTTTTGAGAAAAAAAGCGATCAATGTGAATTTATTCATCCATCTCAAAAGTCATGTAAATGAGAAGCCAAAAATGTTGTACTGTATATCATAAACAGCAGGAACCAAAACACAGTAAAAACAAAAATAAAAAAATATTTATATATAAAATGTTTTAAATATATGTAAACTTGTTCCAGGAAAGTTTAAAAAAAGCAATAATTTTACTTGGATAACCTTGAACAAAGCATTTTTTGGGGAAGTTGAACTCAACTCCAGGGGATTTCACAAACAGATTTATGCAATAGTCTTGACATCAACATAAAAGAGGTTGCTTCATTAGGGATTTTTAAAATTTTTCCAGTCTAGTTCACAAGGGCTGGAATTCCTTCATGATCTCCCATCTAAGCACAAAGCAGCCCTAATCCTGCTTAAAATACAAAGCTCCTCCCTGTACTCAAAACATACGCCAGTATTAATCAAATTTAACTATGGTGGCCTGTTGATAATAAATGCTTATATGCTCCCAATGAGACAAAACCTTCAGATCTGTGGACTGAACTGATAAGATCACCTGAATGCTGCCACATGCTTTAACAAAATTCTTTAAGGAAGAACTGATTGTACAGTTGGTTATTCTGCATTCTTGTAATATAGAATACGGAACATATAGCATTTTATCTTTTCAGGGGACTTTCTATCCAAATAGGAAATATATAATATTGAACAGAACAAAACAAATCTGGAAAAAAAATCTATGTAAGTTCAATTCAAGTTTTCTTGTTTCTAAAGAACCTATGTTACCTTATTTTACTAAGGTTTGATTATTACCATAGATATCAAGTTGACTATAAATGAGATACCATTTCAGATGCTGCAGAATTATGACCCTCTTCATTCCCAGAAAATAATTTTAGTTGACTTCAGTATGTAATCAGGG